GAAGCGGCAGTGCCTTTTTTTGTGTGTGTGGCCCAGGCTGGAGTGCAGTGGTGATCTCAGCTCACTGCAACCTCCATCTACCGGGTTCAAGCAATTTTCCTGCCTCAGCCTCCCAAGTACCTGGGACTATAGACGCACGCCACCACACCTGGCTAATTTTTTGTATTTTAGTACAGACAAGGTTTCCCCATGTTGGTCAGGCTGGTCTCAAACTCCTGACCTCAAGTGATCCGCCCGCCTTGGCCTCCCAAAGTGCTAGGATTACAGGCGTGAGCCAACGTGCCCTGCCTGCCATGTCTTTTATAACCTGTTCTTGGAAATGGCATACCCTCACCTCTGCTCTGTTCTCTTGGTTACACAGACCAACCCTGACCCAGCTTGTGAGGGGACTACACAAGGTGTGAAAGTCAGGAGGTAGGATTGCTGGGGGCTTGGAGGCTGGCTGCCACACGCAGAAGCGTGTATGAAGCACCATTGGCGTGCCAGGCACAGTGCTAGGCACCTAGCATGCATGATTTAATTCTCATAGTAATCTTATGAAATAGAGTCATTACCCTCATCTTCCAGATGAAACTCAGAGGTAAGTAGTTTGTTGAGAGTTACACAGCCTGAGAGTGGCAGGGGTTGGATTCAGACCTGGGTTGGTGATTAGAGTGTTGTGTTTAAGAAAAAACAGCTTCAAAGGATTGTTCTGTGTGACCTTGAGCATGTTCTCACCCTCTCTGTTCTTTCCATCACCTGCTACCTTAGGCTAGCATTTCTTTTTTTTTTTTCCTGTGAAGTCCTTTTTTTTTGTTTTGGTTTTTTTTTTGTTGTTTTGTTTTTTGTTTTTTTGAAATGGGGGTCTTATCCTGTTGTCCAGGCTGGAGTGCACTGGCATGATCGAGGCTCACTGCAGCCTTGAACTTCTGGGCTCAAAGTGATCCTTCTACCTCAGCCTCCCAAGTAGCTGGGACTACAGGTGTGTGTTACCATACCTAGCTAACTTTGCTGGAGTGCAGGGGTGTGATTTTGGCTCACTGCAACCTCCGCCTCCCAGATTCAAGTGATTCTCCTACCTCAGCCTCCGGACTAGCTGGCATTACAGGCATGCACCATCCTGCCCAGCTAATTTTTGTATTTTTAGTAGAGATGGGGTTTCACCATGTTAGCCTTGAACTCTTGACCTAAGGTGATCCACCTGCGTCGGCCTCCCAAAGTGTTGGGATTAAAGGCGTGAGCCACTGTGCCTGGTCAAATTAAAAAAATTTTTTTTGTAGAGATGGGATCTCATTATGTTGCCAGGCTGGTCTCAAACTCCTGGGCTCAAGTGATCCTCCCATCTTGGCCTCCCAAAGTGCTGGGATTGCAAGTGCGAGCCTCCGTGCCCGGCCTGGACT